ATTTTCTGAATATTTGATTAAAATTTGATTATTTTTTTGAAATATTTTTGATTCTTTTTTGAATATTTAATAAAAAATTGTTTATTTTATACAAATTCTGATTATTTTTAAATTATTTGTGATTTTAATTCAATTTGACTTGACTTGAGAAAAAATTCATTTTTTTTTAATTATTTAGTTCGGAATTTGATTATTTTGATTTTTTTTTCTTTGTTACTTTACTTTCGAAAATAATAATTTTTTTAATATATTTTATTTGCGAATTTGATTTTTTTTGCAATTTTACTTGAGGAAATATTAAATTTTTTGTTATTATTTTATTCAATATTTGATTTTTTTGCAATTTTATTTTGGAAAACATTCTTTTTCTGATTATTTTATTCAAAATTTGTGTTTTTTTTTTACTTTACTTTGGAAAAGAATCCGTTTTGGATAATTTTTTTTTTTTGAATTTGATTATTTTGTCATTTTACTTGGGAAAATAATCATTTTTTGATTATTTTACTCAAATAATCGATTATTTGATTTGAGAACATTAAGTTTCCCCTAAAATCACCCCTTGTGATTTGCCCCTTGGTCTAGACTCAAATCTCTCTCTCTCTCTGGGTCGAAGGGGGTGAAAGAAAAGAGTTGCAACTATTTGGCTGTATCGCGTGTGCGTTTGTTGTGGGAATCTTTGAGCCAAAGGAATGGTAGAAAAACCATTAGAGAATGTCTCTCGATATCGCGCGCTTCGTCGAGGCGTCTTGCGAGAACACATAAAGAAGAGTTATTGTTTCTGGGGCAATTGTATCGCTCTCGCCAATTGCTCTCCACCTCGCCGAGAGGCACTAAGTGAAAGCTTAAATGGTGCAAATGTAATCCCAAATGGGGGGATTTGCCAAAATTCCACCCCCTCCGAAAGAGAAGCGAGTCAAAATCAAACTCTGCGGGGTTTTAAGGACAAACAGCTTCACTGATGAGTTGGTCATTTAATTAGAAAGTCAAGCTTGCATTCTGACTTTCTGACTCTCTGATTCTGACACTCAAAGGACTAACGAGTGGACATGCAGAAAGGGATTGTGAAATTCCATTAATTGCCAAACATCAAGGGGGAGAAAATACAGTCAAAAGTGGTGGACAGTTCAGTGAAAGAACTGTTCTTTTCACTTTTCTAGGTTATGTTGTGAATTTAAGACAAACTTTGCTACTAAAAAACCTTCAAAATCAATCATTCTTGCATCAAAGCTGATAAAATTTGCAATTATTCATTGAAGATCACGAGTTTTTAATGACAAATTGTGTTATTTCTGCTAAGATTGATCATAACCTCAAAAAGACTGTATCAAGATACGAAATTGTCTATTTTAAGAGCTTCTTGATTGATTTTCTACTCTAAAATATAAAATTTCAGCTCATTTTCGATTGAAAACTGAATAATATTCAAGGATATCAAGGATTCTTTCAAATATCTCACGAAAATTTTGAGGTTATGTTCCGAAAAGTGGTTTTCATTCCCCAAATTTCCATAATATTCCACAATCCATTCCTTTCCATTCCAATCAATTCTTCGAAATATTCTTTCTCTCCAAAAACTAATTCGAAAGTGAGTTTTCGAAATCGTCTAGTTAGGAAGATATGTAGAAATTCCATAGAAGAGAATTTAGCACAAGATCGTAAAGTGTCGCGGGTTCGATTCTCCTCCAGTTGCGATTTTTTTCACAACTCTTTTTCACTTTTCTCTCCTTTTTTGTGTATTTTCCTTCATTTTATCCTTTTTCAATCGGCATTTTCCCTCAATTTCCCCAAGAATTATTTCTAAACACCCAATTTCATGCTCACAATTGCTTTTCTTTCACTAACTTTTAACTCCTGAATTCTTTTTAACACTCTAATGTCCATTCTTTGGGCTTGAAACTATTCTAAATGTTGTAAATATGTGAAAATGGAAGGAAAATGGCGCGAAAATGTGAGATTTTAGTAGTTTTCCAAACGAAAATAGTAGAAAATTTCTTATTCCGACGGGAAAACGGGAAATTTACAACAAATTCCGCGTATTTCTTCGGTTTTTGATTCCCGTCCATTCTTTTAATTCCTTGATATTCCTGCTGAAGTGTGGTTCGTCCATTCTTTAACTTGAGCAACCCTCGGTTTTTCTGTAAGTTTTCAGAGCCACAGAAGTAAAAAATTGCGTCTTTTTAAATCAAAAACTCCTAAATTTGAGGTTATGACACTTTAAGCGGTTGGAAAAATAAGGAAAACGCTTATTAAAAGCACTGCCAAAGTTCTGAAAGTGTCTGTGATTCCTCATCGAAATTGTGGAAGTGTCAGAAAGTGATGTACAAACAATTTAGCTTTATTATTCTCCCCTTGTTAGATGTAATTCTCAGAATTGCTTCATCTCGCATAATTGGCGTAATTTTCCAAACCTCCGCAAAATGCTTTTATTTGTTAGCTTTTCCCAAGAATCCTTTCCCACTGCATTTCCAAGAATATTTATTCATATACACAAAAGCATTTGACTTCATATGACATCCTTTCGCAAGAATCCTTTAAAATGTTGCCACAAACAGCGTTCCAATTGCATTTTCCACAAAATACGTCAAAGGTTGACAGGATGGATTCCAGAAGCCTGCAAAAGCTGCCAATTTCCCTGAATTCCGATTGCACAACAATTTACAATTTGGATTTAATTACCAGGTGAAACCACAAAATTGGAAAACAACTTTATCAACACTTGAAAACGAGCGACACGGGCAATTATTGACTATTTGCGCTGCAAACTTCACGAGCAACAGTTGTGCTTTCCTCGTGTGCTTATTAAAGTCCCCTCTTTCTGGGGGTGGTTTGGCATTCAGCCCCCGTGGCGAACAATGGCGAGCATCCGGGGCGCGAGCGAAAGACAACAAAAGAAGAGACCATCAAGAAGCGCACGAGAGTCGTAAAGAAAACTCCTCACTTTCTGGCCACAAATCTTCCCCACCAAAACCATCATCAGGGAGGATGAAGAGGAAAAATTCAGCTCAATTGAAAAGATTTTTAAACAATAGTTGTGCGGCAGAATCAGAGAGAAAAGTCGCCCCACAATTGCTCCCCAGATAATTCCTCCACATCAGCCAGCAAATGCTAAATAGAGTAATTTTCTCTCTCTCTCTCGCTGAGCTTTTGGGGAAAGTGAAAGTCATTCAATGTGAAGCTTTCTCACCCCACGAAAGTGTGTCATGAATCACGATGTTTTTTGGGGGAACAGAATGGCGAAGGAAAATCCCTGAAATGATACTGTGAATTATTTTTATTAAAAATGCTCCCCTAACATGGCTGTAAATTTCAAACCAAGTGCCGATTGGGCTGTTAAAGTGGCATCTTTTGAGGCGGATTGCACTCAGGAAAAGCTGCTCGAGATTTTCACAACTCTCCGCGGAAATTTCTACCATTTCTTCACGTAAATTTATCATGAACGTGTTGTTTTTGGCCACAGAGAACAATTTCTAGGTATTTTCGTCACTTTTGATGAATATTTTCACATTTTGTGGAAGAAACATAACCTCAAAGTCGTCATGACAGACAAAGAACCCTAATAAATAACCCTATAATGTGTTAGCTCACACGCTTTAGTTCTTATTGAACTGAGCACAACAAACTGAGCACAACGAAACGATCTTAACCAAAAAACAATGAGTTAAATAGTCGAAAAAACCACAAACTAGTCAGCAAAGAAAGTTTTATTGCCTTTAAATAACATAAAAAGCTCCCTATTTGCGCAAATAAGCTCAGTTTGATTGCTAGAATGATCGGATCTGTCATAAAATCTGCATTTTTCCAGTGTGCAGCGCCAAAATTCCTTCTTTTTCAATTGTTTCAATTAAATCACTCATTAACATTGGTTATCCGTGTTTGACAAATATGACAGTGCAAATTACCGCAAATTACCGCAGTTTTCTCTCAAATAATGTTGCTATAAAAAACACATGAGATAAGTTCCTTTTCCCTTTTTTCTCTGTCATTTTAACCCTTCTTTGATACACACTTTCTTGTCTTTCATAATAAGTTCCGGAGGGAAATTTAATTTGCACAACTGTCAAAACAGCTGCTAGAAATCTGCAGTAATAGGGGTGCCAGATGGAAATCTGCTTCTACAATTTCGTTTTGAAGTAATTAAACCTATCACAACTTTTCGGAGCTATTTATTTCTCCTTCATCAGGTGCTACAAAATATATTACAATATGCTATTTTAAGTAAATGTGTGAAAATTAAATAGGAAAAAGATTGCATTGAATTACTGCGGGTGTTTGGGGTGCAAGCTGGTCAATAATCCTCAGATCACCACCAAAACTCACTGCCACAAATTGCACGATCGGCATTCTCTCATCAACTGATGCCCAAACTCCAACTCCCGTCATTCACTCTCCTCACAGCTGAAAAACTCTTCCTCTTGCTCTGCTCTTCTCCTCATCATCCTTCTCTGTCTTACTTCTTGTAAAATGCCTGCATAAATGCTGTTCACATTGAGGCAATCCTGTTTCTTATTCACATTATGCTGCTTCGTAAGATGTATGTGGAGAGCTTCCAATGTTTCCAGTGGGCCATTTCTAATGCTGCGGTCCAATATGCTCACCTCACTGAACAAAAAATCATGGCCCTCTATTCTGGAGTGAGTGATCAAAGCACTCACATCATTTTCCTATTTAATTTTCACACATTTACTTAAAATAGCACATTGTAATATATTTTGTAGCACCTGATGAAGGAGAAATAAATAGCTCCGAAACGTTGTGATAGAGTGAAAAGGAGTTGAGCTTTTCTGGCCTTTGTTTCCGTCACACACAGAGTCAAAAAATCTTCTGGCCGAAATATATTCACCCATAATTAAACCTATTTTCACTTCACGTTTTTCAAGATCTTGTTTCATATTATGAAGTTTTCGAGTGTCCTGCAAAATTGTGTGTGATTTCTCTGAGTGTTGCTCTGAATCCCCAATATTTCCGGAAAATGGAATTTATGTGGACAATATGTGACTCACCTCATAGAAGTAGAACGAATTGATGACCTCTCCAGTTGTCGAGTTGTCCCCGTCACTCGAGAATATTGGTCCAGTGGACGACGTGGGCGCCAGGAGGATCTGTGGAGGGCAGTTGTTAAGGGCGGGGCGCGCTCGAGTGAATTGCTCTGGGTGTCTCTCACCTGCGACAGGGCGGGCGTGAAGCTGACGTTCAGGTCGGCGGGGCAGCAGTTGTTGGGCTCGCAGCCGGGCGATGGGGTGGACGACGAGTTGGGGAACACGGCTCCTGAGCAGTTCATGCTGTCCTCGAAGTCAATTGCGTCACAGTGATGATGTCTTGCGTCAATGGCTCTCTCGCCGCGTCCCGGCGAGCGTCTCTGGCGGAGGGATGTCCGCAGGAGCACCGGCACCATCGCTCCATCGCTCACACCGACGGCGTCCTCGCCTGCACAGGGACAATCTGGGAGGGCCGACAATGTTAGCTGATGCAATCTTCCTATGATGCGGAACTATGCAAAGTGTTCATCATGGCTCTCGAGCGCCCTTCCGAGCCATTGGAAATTCAATAAAACTCCATTACAGCGTGCAGTTGTGGTTAACCAGATATTAAATCGGCCCAAGAGCGTCGCTTCGCTTTCTTCCAGCCAATATATATTGATTAAATAGTTGGACTTTAGCAATCATGCGAATGTTCTGCATTCTAAGCATTTCGGGCTTCTCAACTTCCACAGCCAAAGACATTGAATTCTCCCTCACGTATTGTGCGAATCGAGAGAAAAAGCACAGTTGAAATTGCTGCCCCAAAAGCTCTTTGCCAAGTACATTTTGGGCGCTTCTATGCAAAAAGTCAGGCCAATTAAATGATAAACCCGAGCGTCATCTGGCTCGAGAGGGTGATTTGATTGACCCAGAGTTGAGCCCACATTTGAGACTCAGTGAAATTGTGTCCCTCCCGGGGGGCAATTTCAGCCCGAGCAAGAACGAGAGGCAGAGCATTAAACTCGAGTGTATGAAAATGATTTGGAAATCACGATCCGAAATCAAAATTCTAAACTCGAATACAATGAAAGCTGCCAGCAATTCCGGGCACAATGGGGGTGGCGAATGCGAGGGTGGTTATTGAAAGTGATGACAACACCTCAGCAGGAATACTAATTTGGATCTCGGGATGATAAACGCCCAGCTGAGCATGTTTTGGCGCTTGTGTGGAAATAAATATACACATCATTGTGCCATTAATAAATGCGCTTGCAGTGGGCGAAAAAGAAAACTATGCAAATGACCTGAAATGTGTTAATTGTTTCATTGCGTGACGGTCCTGTATGCAATTTTTCACGTGCCAATCTGTAAATATTTCGGTTCACGCGGAGATTCGTGGGTGAAAATGAAGTGTTCGAAGGGAAAAACACTTGAACAAGTGGGCGGAGCATTGAAATGGGCGGGGCTTCAAGCATTCAAGGCTAGAACAGTCTAAAGAGCGCTGCAAAATGGCAGAAGATCACCAAAAGAGGCTCAAGAGCTTTGAGACGAAGCCAAAGCCTCTTTTAGTGGAGATATGAAGACAAAATGGCGGCTTCGGAAGGCGTCATTTAAGTAGTACAGAAAGATCATCAAGCTGAGCATTCTGGCTCTGGAAGTCATTGACTTCTAATGGCAGAATCGACCTTTCTTTGAGTGATAATGAGAAACTACGTGAGAAAGTCTTAAAGACAACCAAATGAAGACTGTAATGGCTCCGTTCTGGAATAATCCGGAAGTGTCGCTTCGGATGGGCGTTAGAAATGGAGATTTTCCAGCTTGAGGAGGAACAACAAAAGTATTTCGCGAATTTGCTTGAATTCACCATCGAAAACTATTCGAAAAATGACCCACAAGTTTGTATCCAGAGACGAAAAGACTGACATTCTGTGACGCCACGTGTTTTGTCACCAAGCCAAGCAACAGTCTTCAATCAAGATGGGAAGTTTTCTGCGATCTTGAGCAGAAATTTCCCACCAGAAAGGAAATTAATGATATCAATGATCGTGAATTGTGCTAAATAATTGCGTGCTCAAATGAAATTCACTCCAATAAATTTTGCCCACGAACTTCCCGTGCAACCTTGGTGCGTTCCAAGCATGAATTGTGAAAAGTGGGCGGGAGATTCTCAAGCACCGGACAAATATTTATATTGCTAATTTGCAATTGAGACGCAAGTCTGGGGAATTTTCTCTCCTATTTCTTTTCCGCAGACTTCATTAAGCGCCATTTGAAATGCGGTCAGGATAATGAATTACATGTCCATGCTTGAATGTTCAACACACTCCTTAAGATTATTCTTGTGGAGATTGCGAAGCCAAGAAAGCGCACAATAATAATTCTTATTCTCACATCCATGACATTTTTGGGCTCAAATTAAAGTGCAACGACGGCGTGTGGAAAATTGTTTATTGCATTCGGAGTCTCTCGGAGTTGGCTATTTAATTTTCCCTTCATTTTAGACAATATATTTCCTTCGCTTCTTCTCTTCATTCGGACTTTATTCATGTAATCTCGTCTCACTTTGCATGGGAAATATTTATGTTCTTTTTTTTTCCTCCATATATACTTGACCTATTTTATGCACGAGAAGCATCATGAGAGTTTGATGTGAAAATAAATAAATAAAGTCATCCCTTTGAAGGCGCGCATTTCGGAGTGAAAATTCATCTCGATTTCTTCTTTCGACGCGCGCGAGTCGCAAAAGGAAGTCAAAATTGCAGTGAACTTTTCTCACGCCATTCAATTCGACTCTATTCAATTTGTTCTTCTCCCTTTTTAATGCCTTTTGTACTTCCATCAATTAGTTTGCGAAATTCAATTGATGCCCAATTTCTCAGCGATTCTCTTGCTTTTCGACGATCTTATCTTTTTCCCTACAAAAGCGCTGAACAAGGGGCAAATCACAAGGCGATTTATGGCGAAACTTAACATTCTCTAATCAAATAATCAATTATTTGAGGAAAATAAGCCAAAAAATGATTATTTTGCCAAGTAAAATTGAAAAAAATCAAATTTTGAGTCAAATAATAAAAAAAAGAATTTTTTCCCAAGTACAATTACAAAAAAAATAAAATATTCAAATTCTGAATAAAATAATAATAAAAAATATTGTTTCCCCAAATAAAACTAAAAAAATTCAAATTCTGAATAAAATAATTTTAAAAAATATTATTTCCCCAAATGTAACCTAAAAATAATCAAATTTTGTGTAAAATAATATAAAAAAGAATTTTATCCTAAGTAAAATTACGAAAAATTATCAAAAAAATCAAATTCTGAATTAAATAATCAAAAAAATTTATTTTCCTAAATAAAATTGAAAAATAATCAAATTTTGAGTAAAATAATACAAAAAGGAATTTTATCCCAAGTAAAATCACAATAAAAAAAATCAAATTCTGAATTTAATAATAAAAAAAAATTATTATTTTCCCAAATAAAACTGAAAATCAATCAAATTTTGAAGTGAATAATAAAAAAATATTATTTTCCCAAATGAAATTGAAAAATAATCAAATTTTGAGTAAAATAATATAAAAAAGAATTTTATCCCAAGTAAAATTACAATAAAAATAAAAATAATCAAATTCTGAATTAAATAATCTAAAAAAATATTATTTTCCCAAATGAAATTGAAAAATAATCAAATTTTGAATAAGATAATAAAATCAAGATTATTTTCCCAGGTAAAATTACGAAAAATAATCAAATTCTGAATTAAATAATAAAAAAAATGATTATTTTCAATCAATTATTCAATTATTAAAATTATGGATTAAATATTTAGAGATGAAAAAATCATAAAACAATCAGAATTTTGTATTTAAATCACAAATAATGAAAAAAAAATATTCAGAATTTCGTATGAAATAATGAAATTTCAAATAAAAATCACGAATTAATCAAAAAAAACTTATAGAATAAATCACAAAGTAAAAGGTCTCGAATCGCGAGTGATTTGCCCCTTGGCGTTGAATTAAGTAATTCGGAAAATATGTTCAGTGAGCGATGCAAAGTGTGCTTCAAGTTTAATGTCAACAATACATAAAATGCTCCATTTTTGCATATAAATTCCCACCCAGAGAAGTGATTTAGCATTTGAATGGCAGACAGAAATGGACTTTACGTGACATTTTTGAGTGTTTTGAGTGGTTGACGAAGAAAAAAGTGCCTCATAAAAATTAATTTCTCTTTTGCCAAAACTTTTACCACCACAACATTTTATATTGACCACACAATTTTGGGTGATATTTCAAACGTGCAATCAATAAAAAAAACGATCATCCGCTAGATTGTTAGATTCTTTTGATGATCATTGAACACATGTTGAAGATGACATTCATGTTCTGCCATTAAGATTGTTGGCAAATTGTCAGCAGAGATCAGAAATATTTCCGCGACAGACTCAGAGAGAGTTGTTGTGAATTATTATTTTTAATATTATCCCACAAAGGTTTTCGATGTCACACGATGGAATTTCTTCTTTAATGTCGCGCACAGAGTTGTCAAGCATGGAAAACATGCTGAAATTCTAGAATAGAAGCCAAGTGACAAAATATTCGGAATATTTGCATTGCAAAAGCTTCAATTTCAACAAATTGAGGCATTTTCGGAATTATTTTACTTAGAAAAATCAATTTTATTGCATTTTCAGGTTATGTTATTGATTTAAAAGAGATTCTGGTGTTCAAAAAACCCTCAAAATCATCAAATTTGTGTTTATGCTGAGAATATTTCACTTTTTCTTGGCAGATTTCAGCATTTTTGATCGAAAACACTTGATTTTGACTGAGAAAAAGCTTAAAAGTCAAACATAACCTCAAAAAATCTCATTTTAATCTAGAAGAATATTTTTGTGCCAAATTTAACCTCAATATCTAATAGAAATATTCAGATATTCACTATATTTACTCATTTTCAGGGTTTCTAAAGATCTAAATTAGTCCAAGAAGGATGTTTTAAGTCGATTTCATAACCTCACAATTTGGTTAGAATTTTTCAACGCATTTTCAGTCAAAATTGAGTCGAAAAACCGATGAAAAATGTCTTCAAAAGCGCTCAAAAGTGTCTGAAGTGTTGAAGATTCTGCAGAGAAACTGCGAAAGATTGAAACTCAATCTTCCAATGAAGAAGAAGATTGACTTGAGCAATTGCTATCAATTAAAGAAAACTCATTAAAACACATTTTCTTCTTGCCCATGAAAATTAATTGTGTGGGAAAAATTCATCATTGACGAGAGAGAGAGAGCTTTATGGGCGCTTAGAATCTTCGCCCTTCCCCAAGTTTAATGGTTGTTTTTAAATGAGAATTTATGCCTCTAATGAGCACAATAAGAGGGAATCTTAATTAACGTTTCAGCCACAAGATTCTTTGGGGGCGCCCAAGAAATTTCTCTCCCCCGCGCGAAGGTGTGAATTTTTTTGGGTCATTTTTGCGCCAATATCGCACCAATTAATCACGCCGCAACACGCTCAGTACATTAGAGGGATAATTGAGTAATATAGTGTGCAATATTTGACGGAATCTCACCAGCTAATATTAGCCTAACTGAATCCATTGAACACGCTCAAGAATGCACACAAAACACGCGCGCGCGCGCGTCTTATTTTGAGATCATCTTGAGTGCATATTCGACGGGTGAATGGAAAACTATGAAAAGTCGATTTATCATAGTTTTCGTCTTCATGTATTTTTGAAAAGTCTTTTATTTGTTCTTTCTGTACAAGAATTTTAAGATTTGTATCTTATGAGACAATAGAAAAAAATCTTTTTTATCTTAAAAGCACAAATGGAAAAAAATTGTCTTGTTTTACGAATGAAAAGTCGAATTTTCATTGTTTACGCTGAACAATTTTTCCCAAGAAAAAAGTCTCAAAAATTGCAGTCAAATGCATAAAACGTCTTTTTAGAAAATATTTGTAGATTTTCAGAATTATCCTAAAATGTTTTTCTGGACTTTAAATGAATATTTCTCATATCTTTTAAATTTTTTCACTTGAAAACATTAAGAAAATTGTTCAATTGAAGTATGAAAAGTTGATTTTTTTGTATAAAATCGACTCAAAAACCATTAAAATCGACTTTGAAAAGTAATATTTTCAGATTTTCTATTAATTTTGCCACATTTAAGTCAAAAATTTTCAATAAATACCAATAAAACATTTACAAAATAAAAAATACAGAGCAATATTTTCACTTTAACGAACGATTTGAAGGCATTTTGAGTATTTTGAAAAGTAAATTTGGCAAATTTCGCAACTGTTTTGACTTTTTATAGTTTTCGAGGCACCCGTCGAATATATTTTGCAATTTGCCCAGCACTGGTGAAATTCATAATTTACACAATTAATCACCCATTCGTCCGGCAATGTGTGACGACAAAGTAATATGAAGTGAATTGCCATATAACATTTAATTACCATGATTCCCCGATGGGCGAAGGAGATGCGACGATGTGCCAGCAAAACGGCCAATAATAATCTCTTCGCTCATGTTGATGGGCAAATGCGGAAAAGAGATGCGGTCAATGATCTAAAATTGAATAGGGGATAACTTCTTCACGATGAGACGCCCCATCTTCGGCGATATGGCAATAAATCAAATTTTATTGTTGGCACAGGGAGAAGCCACAATTAAATCTCTCCACAAGAGACCGATCTCTGGCCCCGAAGAAACTCTCTGCATTTTCATGCCATACGCTTTTCCACACGCGTTATTAATTCTTTTCACCGCATATTCACAACCGAGAACCTCCTGATTTACGACACAGGGATATTCATGCCGAATTCCTCTCTCTCTCTCTTTGCTTGAGATTTAATTGAAATCCGCACTCGCCTTATCTTTAATGGATAATTCCTCTTGAGGTCTCAATTCAATCCAAGATGTTCATTAAAAGTGATCGTCAAATGTGCACAGATTAACGACGTTCTTGAAGAGCCCCTTCTTCTATGCATAAATTAATAAGACAAGCATTAAGAGACATTTCAATTAAATCCGTTTGTTCCCTCATTAACATTATGACAGGTAGCAAACTTTTATGGCCGAGGCAACAAAGTCGCCCAGAATGAAGTGTAATCAAAAGTTTAAATTGGAAAATCTCCTCCAGCTTTTGACAAAAGGATGGATTTTTTCACATTTTCCACACTTTATTCAGCATAATTTACACTGAATCAATTGACAGATTGTTCAAATAGATGAAAAGTGCCTAATTTTGGGGTAGTTTTAGGCAATTTTAGGAGAAAGTTAGACTGCAATTTTGTAGCAAAATTATTTCATGACCAATACATTATCTAAGAGCGATTACAGACTTGCCGATTATCCTCGAATCCGTGGATGAGCTTGGAGTGTGTAAAGGTCAGATCAGCGATAAGTCGTGGTTGATCTGCAACTTTACACACACAAAATATGGATTCATGGCTGAATTGGCGCTAAACACACTCAGGAGTTATTCTTCTTTGTCGCCACTAGCGCCACTCTGCTTGGTGTGTTCAGCTGTCAGTTAATTTGCATACTTCAAAAGAGTGAAATTTTACGTTAAAATGGCGAAAATTGATGATTCGCAGAAGAATTTAATGCGATTTTAATAATCCAGGAAATCATTTGCAAGAGATCCGCCATTTTGCGCCTTTTCTGAGTCGTGCAATGTTTCGGCGCATTTTCGCACGAGCGCGCTGTCGTCGGGAACTCCGAAAAATCGGCTGAACCTTCGATATATCGAGGGATTATTCGCGTTTTCTGGCTAAGCAAACTGTCAGTCGTTCACACTTGCGCTCTCGCTTATCCTCCCGTGGATCATCAGCAAGTCTGTAATCGCTCTAAAAGAGGGAAAACTTAAGGATTTTCAAGGAATTTTTAAACTTAGCAGAGAAACATTCGACAGAAAATTGATTTCCTTCTATTTTTGATGCGAAAACGCCATGAATAAAGTGAAAAAATCAATCGAGACACACAAAAACCAAGCAACATTTCCATAAATCCGTTGATTTTGAACTTATTTGTTTGATTTCTGAAATATCTTCTCAAGACATTCCATAGAATCTGCGCTAATGTAGCCTTAAGAGACCTTTGATTGCTTGTTGGATTCATTCCTCGGCCTTTTATGGCCTTGAAAAGCAACGCAATCTTCGAATTCATCTCTACTTCTTAAGCCACACCCACGCAGAAGCTCCGCCCATTAGCACAGATAAAATTGAGGGATTAAAAAGACGCTTTTTTTGCTATTAATTCCACGAAATCCTTTGACAAAGGAAGAGTTAGACGTTCAAAAATAAACACTTGAGCTTCTCCGAAAAGGAGTCTTTGTCGAAAATCCATCAGTGTGTCCTTGACGATGGAACAACGCGGCGTGAAAGACGAAAAGGATGAAAATTATATTGACAAAGATTTCAGTCGATTGATAATTCTCTCTCTCTCTCGCTCACACTTTGTGTGCCTGTTTATCTTTGGTGCTCTTCAACCTCCTTGAATGGAAATTCACGTGAGATGGAGAGCTTTTTGGGGCAAAAGTCTTCCGCGAAAAGCGGAGTAATTTGCTCCGTGAATTGATCCTTAAGGCCTCAAAGTCAACCTTAATACACTCTCCTTCCGCAAAATTCCACTTCCGCTCGCGGAGAATATTAGACCAAGTTTTATACATTTTTGCACATCAATTACCATGAGCGCAAAGGGGTGGAAAGTGGGTGGGAGAGAAGGTCTCCGCGCGGTGTGTGTGTGTGTTGGAAAATGAGGTGCCAAGAAAGTGGGTGGGAATCATTTTGTCTGTTCACGTAGACTCCAAGCTCTCTCAACTCCGCGTGGCATTCAATTGCTGATATGGCTGGGAATTGAGGAGATGACTTCATGAATACATATGATTGAGATTATGTATGCGAAAAGTATTTTCCACTTGTGTGATTTTTTTTTTATATTTATATTTACTCCCGCAACGCAGATGAGCGGGTGAAAAAAAAGCGGGGCGACAAACACACAATGCACAAACATTGCGTGGGCGGCGGCTTTTGGCATCGCAATTCATTCAGGAGGACGCGCATTTTCATGAATTTTTCATTGATTTTCCCACCACCACCCATTCTATCAGCTGACAATTCACGTGTGCTGGCATCGGCGTGGGTGCGCTTGGCAGAATCAAGTGATATTGGCAGGTTTATTACATTGGCCAACATGAGTGAATTTTTCCCACACAGAAAGAAAAAAAATAGTAGAAATAGCGACAAACTTTGTAATTGACGATTGTAATTGCTTACTTCACGAAAAGTTACAAAAAATATGTAAAAAGAGGTAAGTTTTCGTAAGAATTCCAACATTTTTACGAAAGAACACAAATTTTTACAAACTTTTACGAAATTTTAACTCTCATCAGTGACCACAGCACTATCTTTGCTGCAAGTGTGAAAGAGATAAATAGATTTTCAGCATTTTTAGTTATATTTGTCTCTGTTGCTTCGGTGTTAAGTCAGTTGTCAAAAAATGCATTCATTTCGTGAAAAATGCCGTAATTCAGCAAAAAATGCAGTTTTTCTCGTGGAAAAATAGTGAAAATGTACTTCATGTGCGTCTTCAAGATTGGAATTGTGCGTTTTTGCAGCGTGTTTTTTTCCCTTGAATTCGTGAATTTATTCGTTTTATAATTACAATATTTTCTCTCTCCAGGGAAAAATTATTCCCACAATTCCTCACTTCACCGTCAGCAAGTTACAAGGATTCTGATAAGATTCGTGTATTGTCCAGGACAAATCTACAGTGCATCAGAAGTTGCTGAGGATGCAAAGAGGACAACATAAGCATGAGCATCAGAGAACATCGCTCGGACTTGCGTCTAAATGGAATTGATTCCGGACAACGTTGGAAGAACGCTGTCTTTGAGAGCATTTCAACGAGCAAAGTCGCCAACGGATCAGTGTGTTCATCTTCAAAAACTGTGAGTTTATTTATGACTTTATAAGTTGTCTTCCGGAACAAGAAGAACAGAAGACGCAAAGTGCAATTTTCACTTTCTCAATGATTGGAAAAGTAATTAATAATCCGAAAGTATCTTGTTATCTGTAAAATAGAATCTGATTCATGACACACGGGATAAATTCATAGTATCATATAATTTTACAAGTCATTTTATGTCACATATAAAAAAAATTCAAGTTCATTTTCTCAGTGAACTGTGATAAAATTTGGTATAAATTGTTAGTAAAGAAGAAAAACAATGTTAGAATTTAAGACAAATACAGTAGCGAAAATTAGGTTAGGACACTTATGAAATTTTAGCCATTTTTCTAACTAAAACTAAAACTAAATAACTAAAATTCACTAAATTAAGGACTAATCAATGAAGTACTGAAAACTTTGCTTCTATGCGTGCCTTTTATGACACTTTAGTTATCCTGGTTTTGTGTAAAGTTCGTATTGCGCATCGTTGGATGAAATTTCTGGACAATTTTGATTTATCAATGAATTTTAGTTATTTGGAATATCTTTTCATGCAATAATAGCCACAATACTAGATTTTGTGACATCACTTGAACACCATTCACCACATCATGGAACCCTTGTATCCTAGACAATATGCAAACGCAATTAGAGCCATTTCCCTGCCATGCATCAATAAGAAATTACCGATTTTCTGAACCCTATAATAAGAAATTGACTAAAAATTAGCCTTTCTAAAGAGCAAAATGCTGTAATTTTCACGGCTACATGATTGTTCTTGGACGATTGACTTGGGCTCCTATTCTACACTTCAGAAAAAACCTGTGAACAGGATTTGGGCCGCGGTTGTGGGTAAGAAATTAAGAAATGCATAAAAAAACGCTAAATGATAGCTTAAAACATACAAAAATCAATTTGACAAGTCCAAATCACTCCAAACTCATGAGTTAATGTGATTATCCGAGGCAGTTTTATGATTATAACAAGGATTTAGAGAAAAATAGGCAGTGTCCTAACGTAATTTTCCCTATCCTTTTACGCACATCTCTCTGCATTTTGCAATATCTCAGCCTCGAATTGAGATATCGTCATGATCTCAACGCCTTTTGAAAGATCATTAAATTCTCATTATTTTTTGTCTTAAGGTAGTTGTCTCGAAAATTGAAAGAAATATTGAATTTTTAGCACCAAAAGGAAAAATGGCCAAAATTTCATAAGTGTCCTAACCTAATTTTCGCTACTGTATATGTATATGATTTCTTTCAGATAATAAAATTATGAAAGAAAAGGAAAATACAGTCTTTTCAACAAAGGATTACAAACGGCAGGTAAAAATGACGAGCACAAATTTTGACGAACAATTACGAGCTTTTACAAGAAGATTTGGTAAAATGTGTCAATTAGATGATTTTGTAAAAAAAACTACAAAATCTGACAAATGTTTACCCGGAAGACATTTTTACTAAAATGTTTTTGTAATTTTCCCATACGATTTCAGAAATTTTTTACAAAATTCAACAAAATCCTACTATTTTTTTTCTTTCTGTGTGAATGGAAACTCTTGTGCTTCGCGC